ACTGGACAAGCTAGGAATCTAACCGCTCTGGTTAGGAAACAATCCGCTCTACATCCTAAGCCACAGCCCCCCCATCACATTTGAACATCACCTGCTAAACTGACACCTAAATACAGAAACCTGCAGCAATAACACCCTCTTGGTCCATTAAAGTGAAAAAGTCATCAATGTAAACAAATTTATTCAGTTCAAAATGAATGCATTTAGTGGCATCAAATGCTCATAGACCATTTATAATTTAAAGTAGTTTCTCTGTGATCAACATCTTAGTTCACATACAGGCAGACTTGTTGTATGGACACTCGTTCAGCTGCATGTTGGTTCTGTGGCTTTTATCATGGCTGCAGATCTGTAGGAACCCTCTGCATTTAACATGTGTTTGTATGAGTGGGAATTTTTACTAACATCTGTATGATAGAAACACAATACATGTACTAAAGTGAAATTATAAACAGCCACAAAAACCTTCTTTAACCAATATGAATCCACCCTGGATTTGCTCACTCGTAGTTGTGCAGCTAGGCCCTTTGCTGGATAATCCCAACTCTGCAGTCCAGCAAATCATGTCAAATCCTCTTTGAGTATTTGTCATATTTGCTGCTCTCAGAGAAGCAGTCCTCGGCCTGAGGCTTTCATCACTGTGTTTGTCAGTGGCTTTCAAAAAGAATTGTTTTCCCCTGTGACCTCTATGGTGTTTTCCTGACTCTACAGCCATTCTTAGTGCTTCCTGGCTTATCAAAGAGTCAGGTGGTCCACTCCACAGTGTGTATCTGTTTCACACAGAGCACTTGCTGAAGAATTTCCCTCCCACAAACCTCTGCTGGACCTGTGTATGACCTTTTCAGATCATCGTCTGGGGAGGTATTCCTGTGGAAGTCCACTAAAATTCCTGTTCTGCAGTGCCTGGTCAACTGTGTGAATGAAGGAGTCAATCATTTGTCTCATGTCTTGAGTGAATGGGTCAAAGGAAAGCCGCTGGGCTCCTGAGCGTTTGAAATGCCCATCCTGGTTTGTCTGGGCACAAAGTAGCCTCTCATCAGTCATAGTGACGTTTAGAAAATCCGTGATGTGACGGAGCTGTGGGAGAAGAGCTCTCTGCAGCTCCTCGTAATGCACCACCAGCAGGTGACGTCCAAACTTCAGCCAGCTCAGTGCGTGGGATGCCCACCAGGGGGCGTAGCTGGAGACAAATTCTGGCCATTCTGCAGGGGAAAGAGATGAGGATCATGTAGGCAACAGCAAACAGTCTCATTTGCAGAGTTTCACAGCATAAGTACAGAAATGATGCTAGGTCTAAAGGGAGGCACCACTACAATCGATCATTTCACTACTGCAAAATAAAATAATAAAAACAAATTCCTGACAAATATTCACAGAAGGTACTGCCTTTATGCAGCTTCTGTCAGCACCCTCAGCCACCAGAGGCTGTCACAGGGACTGTTTACACTTACTGTTGATAACCCACAGACCTGGAAGTCAGAGAATTTTTTTCTGGTAGCAATCTTAGTAGCTAGACAGATCAAATGAAAGCTATGTGCCTGGTGAATTACTGGGCCAACAGTAAGCGAGATTTGATTTGATTTTATATGCTGTAAGCCTGCATGTCTCTGTTACAATTGGTGAATTTTGTGACATTACATCACAGGATGGCGATTGAAAATCCATTCAGAAAGCACATGTAGTACTGTGTTTACTGCCCATTGTTTAAACGTTACAGTACTCAAAAATATAGTCTTCACTCTAAATAGGAGAACTTAAGTGCCTAAGTGCAATGATACACAAAATGGCCTTAGGTCTACAGCTGCTATAACAGCAGGACATTATGGTGGCATTAGCTACACTATCCTTGAGCAGAGCCATAAACCACTTCACTGTTATGTTTGTGTGGATTGGTACTGTATTACCTTTGCTTTTCCACTGTGCATCTGTGGCATGTCCTAAATGTCCGGCGCACTTGCGGTTGAATTCAGCCATGAGGGAGCGGTAAGGGTTTCGAATCAGCAGGATGGCAGAATCAAACATCTCAATCTCTTTCTGACCACTCTCATGGGTCTTTACGCAGATGCTGCGACCACTCTTCCAGTAGTCCTTCTCTCCTTTGAAACCTGGTACCAATGAATAAATGAATATATAATGGTCAGCTGCGGTGCAATATTTCACTGAGCGCTCGCTCAAAAACTCGGCAGTGCGGTGCCCTGCCCACCTCTGTTGTACAGCGTGCCATCGAAATAAAAGCTGCCAGTGTAGTAGCCGGTCACGAGCTCGATCAGGTGCCGTACCCAGGTGTTGCCTGCACCAGGAAAACTAGAAAGAGCCACCAGGGAGCCGGATCTTTGAGGCAGAAACATCCGCTCCTTGCACCTGGAGTCTAGAAGGACAGCTTTTGTTGTCAGGCTCAGTTATAGAACAGAATATATCAAATGGATTCATTTTCAGAAAAAAGTGACAAAGAAATGGTTCAAGTTTGAGATGAACACTACTTTCAAGGGCAGGTTTCTCCTCAATCATACACAGTGCGTTCTTTCCCCACGAAATTGAGACAGTAACACTGTGGTAGTTACTTTTACCAGCTTTTTTTTTATAATGATCTATAGAAATGACTGATATGGCACGATTGGATGGGGTTCAAATATCAACATGGTCTGGTAAATATTACATTGTCCCATTTCTGTTTGTTAAAACAGAGTGAGGCTTCACATGATTGTTTTAAACAACGACCTGTCACATGCTGATGACTGTGTCTGTATAACAAATATCTCACCAAGCACAGGTGTGTGATACACCTGGTAGTGGTCGTGCTCAGTGGGTGCTATGGGTGTAGAGGTGCTGGTGTGGTTTAGAGACGTGCTCCCCACACACTGCTGCTTTTCAGACTGCTGGCTGAGACTGAAAAGGGATGTTGTCCGTGTGCAGAAACAGTGGGGCTTCCTGAACACAGCCAAAAGGAGCTCCTACAGACCAAAAGCACAAAGGTTCTCCATGTGTTTCTTCATAGTTATTTTTTATTTTTATTTCTTTTGTTCTACCCAAGGGTAATGTGTCAGTTCAGTTAAGAAGAAAAGCGAGCAGTACTCCTTCATTCCACACTTCATTTTTGTTCATTATTTTAGCTCACTGTTCCTGTTACAGGAGGTCAGAATGCTCAATGTCAAGGCCCATGAGCAGACACTGCAGAGGCAATTTTAAAAAAGTTATGCATAATCAAACACATAAACTACATTGTGAGAATGAATCACACTGCAGTCAGCACCAGATGATGTGCAATACTTCTACCAGCCATTTCTGTTTTTTGAGGAGACCCAGCTGTATCCAATAGGATCTCTGTGCAGGATGGAGACTAGTTCTCACTAGAGGCACATTAAACCTCAGCAGTGGGAGTGGAGACAGCTCTCTGAGTTGTAGTCTCCTCTCCAGGGAGTGGAGAAGCGGCGGTACCCTACAGAAAGCTTCAGTATGTGAATTAGAGTGATCATCAGGTCTGTAATTTCAGAGAATTAATTCAGACCTTATCAGTGCAGATCTCAATGCAGGACTGTGTAGTCAGGTTGGACTGAAAGGTGGCGAGAGGGAAGCTGCCAACGGTGCTCTTGGGCAACTTGAAGCAACCGCGGTAGTGAACGTTTCTGACTGGAATGAGAAAAATACACAGGAAAATGGTTAGTGCAGAATAGTAAATATGGACTTGCTGGGATTCACCTCCATTAGCAGGCACTAGGATGTGTTTTCATTTATCCACTGAGAAGGCAAACAAAGGGCTTATGAAATAAATGGTCAGATTCTCACTAAAGCTGTAGTTTGGTATCAGGGTTATCTACTGTACAAATAACCATTCATTTCAAATGATTTCTGCCCTGTATTATATTGCTACAGGCTACTTGACTGAATTCAAGCATCTAATGCTTTCACAATTCAGCTGCAAC